CCCTGGTGTCACTTTCCGGGATGGCAGTGAATAGTTCCTCACTCTTGATACCCGACAAACCGTTCATTATTTTGGACGTTTCAATTAAATCATCCCTCATGCTTCTGCGTCCAAAGGAAAACAATTTTAAGTCCTCAAGTCTGTCCTCGTAATCATAGTGGTCCTGACCAACTAACCGCGTTGCCAGCCGTTGGAGTCCTTTCAGGCAATCTAGGTCCTGCTGTAAATATGGTGCCCATGCCTGGACACAATACTCCAGATGTGGCCGGACAGGTAACCTCATACAGCGGGACCAGAATCTGTGGGTCTCTGCAGGACATCGAAGCCCTTATACTAAAGAGTTCGCCTCTAGCCTTATTGGCTGACGCTATGCATTGCCTGGGGGCTTGAAGTCTCTAGAGACCACCATTCCTAGGTCCTTGGCATGCGTGACCTCCATCAGCTGCCCTATCTGGTCAGGGGTGTCTGCCTTTCTTGCCCCTAGTCGTTGACAATTGGCTCGGTTTAGTGGTAGGTCCCACTTATGTGACCAGAATAGTATAGCTTTAATAGCTTCATCCAGGTCTGCGCCGGCCACCTTCACATCGTCAGCAAACAAGTAGCACGGGTTCTGCAACCTCGGCGGGCGTTATTATGCTGTGTACCACAAGATTGTCGCCGCACCATACGTTCTAGACATTTGCATAGAATACACATTAGGTTAAGTGGCCATTAGTTCGTGGGCTTTTGTCTGGAGCCACCCTTATATATACCAACCAATGTTGCCGTCTTCCATTCTCCTCGAAGATTTTGCTCCCTGAGTGAGGCCGCGCAAAGCAACATCACCCGTAGAACTAAGATTTCGGCCAGTGGTTGAACTACGGCCGGATGGATTCCATCTGGCCCGGTGGCTTTGCTTTTACATAGGATGTGTAGCTATCCCCAGACACTATCGTCGTTCACCCACAGCTCAAATAAACCCGGTGAGCTGTAGTTTAGCTGTCAGTTCGGGTCATCTTGGGTCTCGAGTGGTAGGCGATATATCCCTTTGTACGCTTCCAGGAGTGTCCTGGCATTTTGCCGATCTGTCAGCGCCTTCTAGTACAGCCACAGTTTCCCTCGTTCTCTTTTTAGATTGAACATAGGCATAGAATCCTTTTGGATTCACCTTTGCCGACCTGGCAAACCTACGCTGGAAACGGAACTTCTCTTGTCTTTGAACATCCTGGGCTTTATTACGGGCCTGTTTATAGCTGTCATATGTCTGGCTGGTGCGGTACGTAACGTACGCTACCCATCTTTTCCTCCGGATGTCTAATGCATTCTTCACTCTTGGCCGCCACCACGGAGGCTGCCGTAGTTAGTCTTAGCAGTCCGTTTTTGACTATTTCTCATTTTTCTTCTAGGGTAGGACCGGGGTGGTTGGGTACCCAGGACATTGTTGCGGCTGCCCTTTTCATTTATTCTATCCTTAGCTTGCCATAACACCTAATGGAAACTGCTGGGGATAATACTTTGTGTATGGCAAGTAAAGCCTTCATCACTATATGATCACTTTTGTCCAGAGGTACCTCCGCTCTTAATTCACTAATATCCTTTTGGCACTTTGTGATCAGTAGATCTAGTAGTGAGGGCGATTGACCCCCTCTGTGTCTCGTTGGCATCGTAACAAGCCCGTGCAGTTGCACCCATTGTATGAATGCTTCATCCGTGGATCCTCTGGGCGCGCTTCCAGCCTCCCAGTTGATGGCTGGAAAGTTAGTCACTCAGAATAACGAACTCACTAGTTCTAGCGAGCACTGTTTGCAGTACTCTCAATAGGTCGTCATTCTGCTGTCTACTGGCGAGGGGGGCTCTGTAGACACATACAATGCACATTATTTTTTGTCAACATTGACGAAACAGGACGTGACCTGGATGTTGTTAGAATCCATTTTAAACGGAGCCTCCCAACCTATATGATTTTGATGCACTGGAATGGCAGCTCCACCCCACAATCTTCCATCCATCCTGTCTTGTCTGTAGATGAAGCAGCTCACGATCTGTGTAGCTACATTATTATGGCTCCACCAGGTTTCGGTGATGGCAGCTACTGCACACCATATAAATCTGGTAGCCAATTCTCCCCATTTCCCTTGGATGCTGCAAGAATTTGTGCACAAAATCTGTGGTTCACTTGCTTGCAGTTCATGTCCCACTAAGGCTGGTTTTTCGATTGTGCCCTCGGAAGTAGGGTCTGAGGGACTACCTGGTTTTTTCCCCCGGGTGTTGCAGCTACAATGGTGTCCTCGAGATTCCATGAGGTACTTTGGCTCGAATATTTGACACCCGAACAGGTCAGACCGAAGTCCAGCCGGCCATTCACTGGCCTTGAAACGAGCTGTTCGTTTATATAATGGATCTGTTTCGACCTAAGTACCACGAGTGCACAGCTGCTGTTTCTTGGGAGTACCGGTAGTGTCTTTATTCAGAAATTAATCGAATTCCCATGCTTGCGTGGACCGTTTCGTCGGCTCACGTTAATGCTGGAGGTGCTCCTTGATTGAGCTCCGTTCACTCCGTTACTACAGGGTTTTTGGGCATCCGGATACCTTTGTTTGTTTCTTATTTCTTTCGGCTTTGGTATCCCCGGCGGTACCTCCGGAGTAAACCTGCCTAGCGGTACCATTGCACATCAATCAATCCGCACCTGAGTGACTCGTAACCAAAACCGATACGAATCCCGAAATAAAACACGATTGATCCGAAATATTCTCCGGTACTAACTTAGCAAAATCATTACAAATGTACCATAAAGGAAGCCTCAAATGTGCGACTCAGAGCACTCAAGCAATCAAACCAAATATGATCTCCAGGGATAGCCAACACATAGGGAA